ATGTATTCATATAGTCAGACACACATAGGATCAAGGCCTGAAGTTAGTTCTGGGATCAGACTGTGATGCATTGTCTTCACTGGCTATATTTTAGCTTTAAGAACAGTACTGATCCCTATAGTGGACTGGTATACTGTTTTGTTAATGAAATGTACTCATACATCATCAACATAAGGAATAAAGTTAATTCTCATGACATTTACAAAGGTAAAGTATTTGGAAAAAATAAAAAAGATTGCAGAGAATTCTCAGAATTCAAATTCATATCACTGCTCTCAAATATATAAGTTACATTTGATATATACCTTAATGGACATTTTTCGTGTGCGTGTGCTTATTCATAAACTGCTAATTCTAGAGCCAAGATTCATCCCATGGGGCTGAAGTTATCTGAGTTAGAAGCCAGTATAACCAAACTCCAAACTCAGAGGAGGCAGACTTTAAGAGGACTGCAGAGCCCACCACAGGTGCTCACATCACTGCAGGACCCAGAGTGCCTCCACGATAACTTGACACTTGGATAAGAGCCAGCAGTTAGATAATATGAGCCCATTTCTAGTATCAATTTTATTTTTCTTAAGTGATAGAGTCAATTAAATCCTTCTGCACATGAGCCCTGCACAAGTCAAAGTGAGGTAACCCTGTCCTCATATCTGTACACTTCACCTATCTCCAACATACCAAAGGCTTTCCCAGCTGTTTCAACCATCAGGGCACTTCTTACTCTGGTCTACATTAGTTTTGACTTTGACTTCAGCAGTCTTTTCTTTTCTGCTTTTGTTGCAAGCCACCCAAAACACTACTGACCGATTCATCTGACGCTTTTTGTTTGCTCTTCTTCAGCTTCACACTGACTTAGGAATAAATCCTTTGAACATAAAAAGACAGGTTGGATGGGGCTTTGAGCAGCCTGGCCTAGTGAAAGGTATCCCTGTCTGTGGCAGAGAGGTTGAAACTAGATAATCTTTAAGGTCCTTTCCAACGCAAACCATTTTATGATTCTATGATAAACTCTATCGCAGTCCAATGTTCCCTGCCTGTTAAATCTCATAATGCATTGATATATCAGAGGTCTCCTTTGCCTTTCCAGTGAAACTACATTCTACCACCTTTTGCTCTGTCTTCTCTGAATAATATTACATTCTTCTAGTATCAAAATAACCAGTCTCCGGCTAGTTTTTCTTGAATACTTCCTTTTTGTACTATTAATTCATTGGTGGTGTCCCTAGTGCCTTCCTCTTCACCAATGACTGAGTGTCAAGATAAGATTTTGTTCAAACTCTGTCCATTATCTTGCAAACTGGCCCCATCTCCACACATATATGCTGCCCTGATCTGGTCTGGTCTGTCAGAAATGCAAACTATGAGCTCAGCAGGACAGGAACTGCCCTGTATTTTGAGGTAATAAGGTTCTGACCCATGGACATTACTGTGATTTTAAGGTTTAACAAGAAGATCAGACAGCTGCAATGTCAGTAAATTGAGAGGGACAGCATAGTCTGCTGCACACCACATATGTTGCTGTTATTCAGGTCATAGTTTGAGAATGATAACAACTCTGACTATTAATGGATCAGCTAAAGGAGAACAGAATTTTCCCATTTTGCAAGAAGTGTTGATATAGTTCTTTCAGTTGCATATCTTTTTGTTTAAGAGTTTAAGGTTTCTAGAGCAGACAGTAACTTTCAACTCCTTGCTTTAAGTCACATTTGTGAGCAGTGCCCCCTTATTTCAGGATCCAGGATCATCACTGACTTCCAGTGAATTTTGCAGTAAAGTACTAGGCCACTGTTAAAATCTATAACACCTCAATCAGTAATGCTAAGTCATCAGAGTGGCTGTCTTCTCCTATGTGTTAATCCAGCACACAGGGTTATAAAAGGAGTAAAACTATTTTCATAGAAGTACGCTGAATTAAAATGCATGTTGCCCTCATTCCTGCTAGTACTAAGAATAATGGATTTGTTCTATAGGGAGACTTGTCATTAGACAAAATTGTTAACAACTGGAATACAATCAGCGGTGGGCAGAAGAGGGTAAATATGCTTTTCTGATAAGAATAAAAGATCAGAAAAGCTGTTGTTGTTTGGGTTTTAAATCCAAATATTACATGGGCATCAGAAACCATATCATAGCTATTTCTGCAGAAAAAAAAAAAAAAAGTATAGAAAAAGATGTAGAGTAGCTTGAAGATGCAGCCATCAGTGCCCAGCATCTGTAAGTACCTTGTGAGCAAATTTTTTTTATGAGAAATATGTTATATGAAAAGGTAGGATAAGAAGTGGGTGAAGAAAGATGCACAATCATAAAGAAAACTGTATTTTTCATTAAAACAAATCTAGAACACACGTTTGAGCACTTAATTTGGTCTAAGAAGATTTCAGAGTATAAAGCAGGCTCTCATAAGAGTTTGTCCTGCTTCCCCTACATTGTTGCATTTATGCCCTGAAAACCTGTCCCACTGGATATTCATTACACACTTTCTCTGCTCCATGCTTTCTCCAGTGACAAAAATCACCAAATACAAAAAAATGTTCAAAATCATACCTTAAATCACAGTTAATTTGAGCTTATTATACGTAATATAAAGTAGTTAATATAAGAGAAAAATAAATATTTTAGCAAAAGTAAAAGGAAAATAAAATAGGGAAACAAAGCAGCAATTAAAAAACAAACAAACAAGTTTGACAGGAGGATTCATCTTGGCTACAAGTATTTTTTTTCTGTTAGGACATCCCAGTCCTGGCTTCATCCTAACTTTAGTGCTTCTTTTGAGAATTCAGTGACAGGAGTAGCCTGAATTAATCTTTGATGTTATGTCACTTTAGCGATGCAATACTAACTCAGTAACCTTCTCCCTTTACGTTCTTGTGACATAAAAAGTTTCTGGTTCCGGTTGTCTTTGTAGTTTGTGTTCTGCAAAAGTCTGAAACTAGAGATGTGAGCACGAGTTTCTTTCCGAAGAAACTGTGGTGAAGGTCTGGTCTATCCTCTTTAAAACGCCTATTTCCCACTCCGTGTGAAGATTGACACAGAGCTGATGAATCACCATTTCTGCATTAATTTCTCTCATTATCTGAAGTATTTTGTATTTCCCCGATAATTTTGCCCTCTGTGGTAACACATCTTTGCTGGTATTTGTCCTCTAATTCATAATTCCATGTCTTTAAATGAAATACTTGCCATCTCACCTAAAAGAAACATCAAATAAGTCACATTCCTTTGCGGATCGATCGTAAATATTTCGCTGATCTTTTCTCCACCAGGCTTTTATATAACATTTAACATTCAGAGCTCTTCAACTCGTTACTTTGGGATGGTCTCAACACTTCTCTTAACAGTCAACCCTTCTCTAACAGATGATTTACAGCACCTCTATAACTGTTATTAGTTCACTGACCAGGTGCTTTAATGAACAATATTTGCCCCAGATAAGTGACTCCCTGATAGTTCTGGCAAGGATAAAAGCAGCCTCACGGCTATTTGCTCTGTATTAAGCCTTAGGCTGGCCATTAAATCAGTAAAGCAGATACAGGTCCTCCGCTTAGGCGGTGCGCTGGTGGTGGTGCGGCAGGACGTCGAGAGGCCGGCTCTCGACCCGGAGTAGGGCAGGGGAATTGGGGGTATCCCGGGGCCGCGGGACCGGCTGCGTCCCGCCCCGGAGCTCTCCAGTCTAGCTCTGCTCTCGCTCATGTTCCTCGTCGCACAGCGCAGCCAGTGCCCTGTCCGCCCCTGGCAGCCCGCGGAACAGCGGGAAGGGGTGGGGCTGGGTCTGGAAGTGTCTTTCCCAGGAAAAGGGGATGCGCGGCTCGCTCACAATGTTGGGAAGGACGGCAGATCCCGGTCCGCGGTGGGAAATGTTTGCGGTCCTGTGTAGGCAAACAGGAAGGATTTTCGCGGAGCGGGATTCTTCGGCCGCCCCCACCCGCCTCCTTTGATCTGATGGGCTTTGAAATCCCCTTATAAATTAGGCACCAATTAGCTGCAAAGCGAGAGCGACAACAACGCATGACAAAGGCGAAGGTACGGCTTTAGGGGCGCAGCTCAAGAGCAACAGCCAGAGCTCCTAAACGACCTGCGCACACAAACCGGTGCCAGAGAAAACTGATCCTATCCAGCCCGGGTGTGTCTAAACCTGACAGGGATGGCTAGGTGCAGGTTGTACATTTAGGGCAGTCCGGGGTGTGGGAGGGTGAAAACACAGCCTCTAACCTCTTCCAGCCTCCTAGGACAAAAGCAAAACGATCCCCAGCGTCCGTCCCCAAGGAAACCCTGATCAAAGGAAGGTATTCCGCGGTGTCGGGTGTACGGGTGTGTTTATATGCGTATCACGGTATTCTGTGCTATGTATCCAGCGCTGTCAGTGCTGCACGCCAGGCTGATTCCCCTGTGCACCGTCTGTGACCGGGACACCTCTGCCAAAGGTGTAAGAGCAACCGCTGCCCTGAATAGTACCAGCTTATCCTCGTCTCACGGGCAGGAGGAAAGAGTTTCAAAGCAAGTGCTTTGAAATTGCCTGATGTCTAAGCCAAAATGAGCTTTACGAAGCAGCCTTAGACTGGAAAGATGTTTGAACTCTAGTTGAAGGGGATTTAGGGGAAAAGGAGAGACGACTCCAACAGTTACTACTGGGAATGCAATATCGGGTCCCCTACAATGCTTACTTAGGCTAATGAAGGTCCTGTCATTCAGTTCCCATTGCGCCGGGATACAGGGTAAACATTCCCCAGTGACCCTCTGCATGCAGGTCTCCTCTTCAGGACATCATTAAAAGCGTACATGCACTTGCCTGATATCAATTGTCAGCCTGGCTCTCGGCGTTCAGAGATCGCGACAAAAAGCAGAAAACAAGCCCAGTGGAGACCCGGCTCTGCGGCTGCGGGCTTTAAAGAGGCTGAAAATCGGTTGGTTTTGGGTGTGTAAGAAGAAACAAAAGTGCTCAGCAGGTAAGAGCGGAGGGTTTTGCCAAGAAGGAGCTGTCCTTGATCGCTCTCACAGGATTGACTCTCTGGGGACTCCTCTGTCGGGAGCATACACGCGTCCCCGAGGGGGCTGCCTGTCTCCTCTCATCAGCATCACGGCGAGAACTTTTACAGCCGCTCTTTGTAGTCCTGCTAATCCTGTTACCCGAGGTGTTATAAATATTAGCGCTACTGGGGCTGAGGATGGGGGAGCAGATTAAGCCTTCTCTGAAGTAAGATGTCAGCCAGCCTCTTCGCAGCCCACCAGCTCCCGGAGCTGCTGGATGAGCTGCACAGCAGAGCCCAGCAAGTGCCCTGCCCGGAGGGGCTGCTGGGCACATCCGTGGTGGACTTCGTGGCCGACCTCTCCCTGGGGCCTCCCCAGGCTCCCCCCCGGGCTGGGCCGGGGCTGAGGCTCTGCGACGTCACCTCTGGGCCTCCCTTTGGCGACAGAACCCTGTCGCTCCGGGAGGAGATGGCCCGGGGGCTGCCGCTGGTAGCCTTCGGAGGTGGAAATCCCGAAGACGAAGAAGAGGAGGAGGAAGAGGAGAGGATGCACAGCACTTCCCTCCTAGACAGACCCAGGAGAAAGCGAGTTATCACCTACGCCCAGCGCCAAGCGGCCAATATACGAGAGAGGAAGAGGATGTTCAACCTCAACGAGGCTTTTGATCAGCTGAGGAAGAAAGTGCCCACCTTCGCCTACGAGAAGAGGCTCTCCCGGATAGAGACACTGCGCTTGGCCATAGTGTACATCTCGTTCATGACTGAGCTCCTAGACGGCTGCAGCAGGCAGTAGGCGAGCTAGGGAGCGCCCGGGGCCGGGAGCCTCCCTCCCCGGGGCTCAGAGCCCGGCTCTGCCACGGCCCCTCACACAGCAGCCAGGACTAATGCTAGTGCGGGATGCACAATCAGGAGAGCCTGGGGAAGCGTGCCTTAGGGTGGAGGAAGAAGGGGGAAAAGATGCAGTGTGTGTAGATTTTATAATATATACATACTTTTTGCAAAAGTAATGGGGGGAAATGAAGATCTGAGGCCTTTTGGTCTGTGTTGTGTCTCCTGTTTGCATTAAAACTTTTGCAATCTGCTTCTTTCGAGAAAGGCTTTGCAGGGCAGCAGAGCGGTGCCAGTTTGAGGGATGGGTTCTCAGCGGATTCAGTTGCCTGCCCAGGTGCCTGGCAAGACTAGGAAAACCTCAGCTTCTGCATTTTAACCTAGGGCTTTCTACTTTTTGGAAAATAAACAGCATCTCCCTTTTCTTTCAAATCCCGCCTGCCAAGTCCATGCCGCGTGTCACAGGGCCAGTAAAGCGGAACATCTAGGCACAACCGTTTGTTGTCACGGTTTCTTTCGCGGGACCAGCTCTGTCCTCTCGTAAGGGTTTCCAGGGCCGTCGCTAGCACCTAGCAGGAGCTGGCGGAGGGCCCCGCGCGGTGCGGGGCGGCCCGAAGACGGTAAGGGGCAGCGGCTGTCGGGGCTGCACCACAGCCTCCCCGGCACCGGCAGGGCCGGCCTGGGAAACCGTCGACTTGCTCCACAGAGAGAAAACTTGTGGGCTTTGATTCTGGGGAGGTCAAGCGGAGACCTCTTCTTTCTCACTGGACCACCCCTCATATTCATGTTTCATTGCTGCACGAGAGAAAATAAATACATACATCCTGAAAAGTCGGAGCGGAAGGGAAGGGGAGAGCCCGGCCCTGGGGACGAGACACGGTCTGCTAATGTCCCGCAGCCGCGTTTGGCAGGGGTGAGAGTCAGGGAGAGCTGCAGCGGAGGGGTGGCCGTGCCCCCCACCCCCCGGCCTGGGAAAGGGCTGGGGAGCCCGGGGTCTTCTCTAGAAGCAAGTCTCTGAGGCTCTTCCTGCTGTGTCTCTGCCCTCCTGCTCCATCCCCCGGCTCTCTCTGCCTCTGGAACCTTCCCCTGCAGCTGCCCAGGAGGGAGCTGGATTGCTCCCTGTTTTCGCAGCGATCAGCCTGTTCAGGGCCCAGTCCAGTTTAACTCCTGCGTTACACTTAGGAGAAATGTCCCATCCAGGGCAGTCGCTCTGGACAGCTTTTGTATCCACGATGTAAAATTGTTGTGATGTTAGTGGGTATCAAGATTTACCTGGATTCAGGCTAGAACGGCAAAGATCTAAATCCCATTCTAATATGTCTTTGATTTCTTCTGTCATGTTTTCTCAGCTTCTGTGGTGACTCTTCTTTTTCTCATTCCATGCACTTTAATATTATCATGGGTGATCTAATATCCTGTATTAATACTCTAATATTCTTTCCCTTTTCACTTGTTTCCTTGGTTTCTTTTTCCTATTTGTTTTTGTTCACCTTCCTGAATCCACACATTGCATCTTCTTTCCAGTTGTCAGAAAGCTTTTTTTCCAAGACGCAGTTGGACAGTTAACACAGCTGGATTCTTTCTAGAAACTGGAGTGTTTCACCTCTTCAGATGTTTTTGTGTTGGGTTTTGTTGGGGCTTTTTGTTTGGGGTTTTTTGTTGTTGTTGTTGTTTTTTCTAAAAATAAAATGAGAAAAGGAACTACGAGTGAACAATGTTCCAAAATCAACTGTTCACATGACCCAGATGCGTTTAACTGTTACCACTGTCTCAAGCAAAATTATGAAGGCATGTTCTTTAAAGAAAATTAAATATGCAGTTCAATATTCACTTCTTAGCACTATTTCTCCACTATCTCTATACAACTGTGCTTTCCACAGCATGATTATGTGTCTTTTCATATTTTTGCTTAACTCTTGTGAGTGGATAAATTACAACTATATAGCACAGTCTCTTAAGTTGAGATTCATAATGTAAATATGTCTGTTACCATTAATTCAAAAGTTATCGGCTTTCTCTTCTCAGTTTAATAACAAAACATTGGAATTTGTTCTAGATCCAAGGTTTTTCCATACTTGTGTTAAAGACTAGAGAAAAGCAGAAAGAATATTACATTTTATCATTAAATACTAATAAAAATCTGGATCCTGAATGATGAATCCTCATTTTTAATGGATCACTGGAAATTTTCAGCAGCAATACAGAACAGTAGTAACACTCTTATGCGAGCCACTGGTTCTAGAAATAACATTAGAAATTAAAAATGCCATTGTGGTATAAGCTGATGTGGTATAAGCAAACAGAACAGATGAAGTAGCAAGATACATTTTGTATAATGCCAAAGACTTTGAGAGAGCCTCTTGGCCACACATTGATTTATAGGAACTGAGAACCTGATGAAGGAGGCTTTAATTTTTTATGTTTCATGCTTTTCCTGAGTCATGCAAAGATTTACCAGAACAGTAGTCTAGATGCATTTTTTTCTTAAACAACTCTAGACTGGAGAAGAGAAGGCTGCATGAAGATCTCATAGCAGCCTTCCAGTATCTGAAGGGGGCATATAGGGATGCTGGGGAGGGACTCTTCATTAGGGACTGTAGCGATAGGACAAGGGGTAATGGGTTAAAACTTAAACAGGGGAAGTTTAGATTGGATATAAGGAGGAAATTCTTTCCTGTTAGGGTGGTGAGGCACTGGAATAGGTTGCCCAGGGAGGTTGTGAATGCTCCATCTTTGGCAGTGTTCAAGGCCAGGTGGGACAAGACCTTGGGTGATAGGGCTTGGTGCGAGGTGTCCCTGCCCATGGCAGGGGGGTTGAAACTTGATGATCTTAAGGTCCTTTCCAACCCTAACTATTCTATGATTCTATGATTAAAACCATGCCATTATGCACTTGAAGAGCCCAGTGAAACAGTGAGATACCCATCATACTAATCCATCACTTGGCCCATGTGTCCATGTTGAAGTCCTGGAAGCTCAGTCTCCTAAGAATACAATAATATTATGGAAACACTTCAGACAAGTTTCTTTCTGGAGAGCGATCCCATCTCCCTGACATTACAGCACTGTAGAGTTCCTTCTTCCCTCACCGTCCTCTCAACCCAAGGTAGCTGCATCCTACTCAGTGAAGTCATAGCTCAGTAAAAGAGTGTCAGGCTGCGTAAGTCAGTGAAACCCTGGCCATAATGAAGTGTGAGTATCAAAGTGCTGCTAACTTCAGTAAGGCTAGGATTTCACCCCCTGTAACAAAAGACCTTTCCCTTGTTTAGAAAACCTGCTGCTACCAAGGTCCTCAGTCTCCCCAAAGCACCATACCATTATCCCCGCATTAACAACAAAAATTGACAGTGTCAATTACTTCTGGGAAAAGATAATAAGGGTTTTTTTAAAGCCTTAGAGCTGGCTGATCATAGCCCATTTCTAGATCCTGGGCTGAGGAGGGTTTGTTTATATTCTCTTTGCCCACTGAAGGCTGTCTTTTGGTAGAAAGTTGAGTTCCCTTGAAGCTATCATGTTACGATTAGTATTCAGACATATAAACCAAAAAATAACTCTAAATGAAATCATATTTGAGAGACATTTCCAAGCTTTCTAAGAGAAGTATAAATAATCAAATGATTTTGCAATCTATAGTCAGGCTGATCTTGTTTTACAGCTGCTCAACCTGAAAGCAGGTTTAAGCAAATTAGTGCTGGAAACAGAATTAAATATTATGATAGCACTGGAAACCCCTGCATCCACATTCTGACCAGCTACTCTGGCCCCATGATTGGTGTTTATTATCACATTTGTCAGTGTTTCCATTATAAACACTCTAGTGTGGAGGGTTTATAACTCAGCTATAAAAATTCCCTCCAGGATGAAATTGAAAAGTGAGGTTTTAGTCCAACAACACTTTTTTTTTTTCTTTTTCTTTTACAAGCTTTAAAAAAATTAGGTTTTGAAGTCTTGGGGGTATGATGTAAAAGTGATAGAAAAGAGGCTTTGATTTATTTTTCAGACCTGTGATGCTTCTCAAAGAGATTTTCTATGTAGTCCTTTGGCCCTTTCAGTGAACCTGAACCTTTTTTTTATTTTTTTTTAAATTAAAAGTGGCCAAAATACTGAGATTGAAAATGTGAGTGCTCTGTGTGCTGCGTCCCCTTTTCATAAGAATTTGTTATTTTTACTAGGGTTGAATACTACCAGTCTGCAACAGTGACAGCCAAGCTTTCCTGCTAAGTATACAACAGAACAATTATAAGGACAGATGCATGCTGCTTATAGACTTTTTATAGTACAGTAAAAGTTTTTCTCTTTTCTAGGAAGTTGTTAAATACAACCAGTTCAGATTATTTCCTCTTGAACTTCACTCCAAAAAACATGCTTGCTGTAGACTAAATGAATATTCATCACAGCAGCATACCAAGATTAAAAGAATTGACCAAATAAAACCATTCAACTTAACTGCCTTAAAAAGTTAGCTTTCTAAGAACTGCAGCTCAGATAAGATTTTTAAATTTGCCCGTGTTTCATCCAGATTTTGCCTTTTCCCTTCTCTATCCTAGTGTCAAGTGTATTCTTTGGTCTGTTTGGTACTAGATTTTAAACCCCTGAAACTTTGGTCTGGTTGGTACTAGATTTTAAACCCCTGAAACTTTTCACAGCCACCACTCTGCTGATTACCAGCCACAGTCCAGTTTAGGGGTCCCCACACACCTATTCCTTCAAAGAAGTCAAAGGTGGGGAGCATTCCACTAATCTTTACTTTTGTATTGTCAATTTTCACATTGTTTTATATACCCCTAAGGACTGTAATGTATTGAAATCGTTGTGTGTTATGTTATCTCAACATGCTCCAAAGGTTTCAGTGCTGTAGCTATGGCTCAGACCACCTCCTCCTGCACTGAGGGACGTTGAATGTTTCCCACACAGAGATACTGCAGTGCAGGACAAGCATCCTTACTGTCACATGCTAGCCTGAGA